TGTTTTCCTTACGGTAGCATTTTTGCTTCAACTTTAAAACTTTTTTATTTTCTCTACGTAGAGTTAGGAGTCATCCCTTAAGCTAAAAAAAAAAAAACAAAAAAACAAAAGGTGGGGCCTAAAGTTGAGAGGAGTCACAGTTGAGGTGAATATTGTTGGTGACTCAAAGAAGCCGCGTTAGATTGCAGATGGCAGCAGAGGTTGCTTGGCAGCGTTTTCCATTGATATATATATACACACACACACACAACAATCCTAACGCGTTTAGTTTGTAATGTTTTTTTGTTTTATGCAGCGAATTGTTTCTCAAACTTTATGTGATCCACTCATGAAGTTTGAGTCACACTCCCTCAAGTCCACTCACCAGTACTGCACTGCTCCTATTCTTCCCAACCATTTGCATTATATGCATTACATACATTTAATGGTGATAAATTTGGTGTTGTACATCTAGGCCAGGGACAAAAACCCGTGACAATGCCAAAATCTATAATTTATTCTCGGCGGAGCAGACCTATCTTCTTCTTCTTCTTCTTCTTCTTCTTCTTCTTCTTCTTCTTCTTCTTCTTCTCTCTCTCTCTCTACTTGCTTGTTCAATTGTTCCCATACTATTTTTTTTTGGCTTACAAACCAAGCCAGCATTTTTACAACCTGCAACTATCAATTCAGATGAGCAGTCTATAAATGAGGATATGTTCTTCTCGATACTTTAATAACTCTTTTTGTTTATCTACTTCCAGCTATGGAACTAACAGGGGACTAATGGATTTAAGTTTGGAAGAATATATTCTAGTTGTTAGCTCCCCAAAAAGCGAGAAAGAACTCCCACTTTCTCCACCCAAAGGAGAGAAACAGAAAGGAAGAGTGATATGATAGTGAAGTGATAAGAAATTTTCAACATACTGTTTCATCACGGAATGCAAAAGATTCTGTGTGGTGAGATATAATCCTGCTTATGGTTGGATTTATGGATAATATTTGGATCCTGCAATATTTTTTTACTGTCATCGCAGGGCTATTCAAGTTTTCCGGCCAGTTCTGCTGCAACATTTTTCTCGTGGCCCAACTTAAATTTGGTGAACTGAAAACTTTGTTGACAAAGAAATCAGCCATCGAGTCTCGACTCCGTTCTGGTTTTGCCGCAGTGAATGGCAAGAATGATCACTAAACCATCTAAAATAGCAAGATTTGACCATTGAACCTTTTTTTTTTTTTTTTGTTTACCATAAAGATCATTCAACTCCTTGAAACGGGTATTTTGGGTCACTCTTTGCTAAACCGCCGACCGGAAATGATTTACAATTTAGGACATTTTTACCTCTGAAAAACCTAGAATACCAGGTTAAAAAAAGGTGCTTCATTTTGATTGGTTTACTGTTAAATTAGTCAACATGATCCAAAAGATCGATTTTAAAGGGTTAAGTGACCTTTTTGGCCAAAGAAAAAGTTTAGTGACCGGACCATGCGGTTTTAAATAGTTTAGTGATTATTTTAACCATAAAAATCTCTTCCAAATAGGACAAGCTAGATACAAAATAAGTTACAGTAGCATTTTTTAAAACATGATTAACTAATTTATTGCTTTTCTCACGGGAAGTGAACAAGCAATAGTCCATAATCAATTTAGTATAAATTGGGCACGGTGACGTCTTGATTGTCACTTACTGAATTTAATTATTTTGCGAGATTTTGCACCAACAAAAAAATAAAAAAATAAAAAATTGGAGACCTTAATTGACATTCAATGTCCTCAAAGAAGCATTTAATGTTCTCAATGCAAAACGACGTGTAAGTAGCACTCATCACAAAAATCATTCATCTTGAAAGGAAAGATTTAAGAATTCCTAGTCTACATCTCCAATTTTTTAAACCATTCTCTCTCTCTCTCTCTGGCTTTTTTCCATTGAATCGCATCAAGGTATTAGCTAACAACCATCGATCCCATGCTTTTTTTTTTTTTGACACAATTAAGTGAAACTTATACATACGAATAATCGTTACCTCGCAACATATCCTTTCTTCTTTGCTAATTAGGAAAACAAAATAATATATGTTTTATCTCTTAGCCACGTTCATAAGAAAGAAATCCCGAGTTGTTTCATGTGCAAGTCATTGACTTTCTAAACCAAAAGACAAACTTGTGGCTATGTTCAACTGTATGTACTATTCTCTACGAAGCAATTTGAACACTCATAATTTATTAGGACAGGCAAAATTATTAGTGGATCATTTCCCCGGTTTTGCACTCTGTTTGGTAATTTTCTTCGATCTTACGTACGGCTACTAGCATGCGAAAGGGAGTATTTGAGATCTTACGCCATAAAAATTGTAGTATACTCCTATTTCAATTATATCCAGCAGGCGCGTCATAATCGTTCAGAGCTGGATAGTTATCTGATACAACAACATGCATTCATGGCATTATCCACATTTTAATAAACCCATTGTCCCTTAGCTTAAATTATTGTGTATCATCCTGAAGCAGCAGAAATTCAAAACATGCTCAAATTCATCGGGAGGTAATCAAACAATCGGTATCTGGGAAGGTCTTCGCATTAATGTTGCTGCCTGCCTGCCTGCTATTATTTCTGAGATCAAGTCATCACACTCGTACACTTACATATATATTAATGTCACCATCTTGAAAGCTGAAAACATTACGAAACTTGTAGCGGGCAATTAATTGGTTCCGTAAACCTCAATGAATAATGCTGATCTTTTCCTAATACGAGTGATATAAAAGTCGGGCAGGCATAAATCGCGGCCACCAATTGGCTATGGCGGGCTAGGTTTGATGTTTTGCGTATGTCGTAGAAGCATGCAAGAGAAGAAGCACGATTGGAGGCTGATCAAAACGTTTTTTGATTCAAGCAAACAGTTACTCAAAGAGCTTCTTACCCTTTGTCGCCCCGAATTGCTCGAGAGAGATAGAAAAAGCTAAGAAAGATTTATTCACAATACCAAACTTTTATTTTGCTGGTTGACATATTTTAAATGTACTCACCACGTGGCCAATTTACAAAATGTATCTTCTTGGTATTTAGATTAATTTCTACGTACTAATGAGAGCATATATACTCTTTCAAGTTTAGACGCACAATAATTGATCTAAATTTAAATTTGAAATTCAAGTTTTACGCACATATTAATACTAGGAGGGATCACCGCGCGAATGCGCGGTGTGAAATTAATAGGTAGTATGCCCAGTGTAAAGCCCATTATAATAGTTTTTTTTAAAACAAAATAGATAATCCATAATTAGGAGTAATGACTAAAATAAGTTATAAAACTATATTGGCCAAATATGTTGAATCAAGGCCAACTATATTAATCAAGAATACAGTTAAAAAAAACTTCTATAAATTATTACAAGTTGTATGCATGATTGGATACTAAGTGTTTACTAACTATGGCTCAAGCTTGCATTTCTCAATCTCTTTACAATGCCGAATATCGTTCAAGAGTTTATTTGTCTTCCTCTTCCCAGAGCTTATTCGAATAATCTCCTACTGCCATGTTTTTATCCTGCACAAGAGGTAATGCAATTTTATGTTTAAGCCATATGAATTTTATGTATCATTAAAGATATAATCTAGACAGAGTCATAAATGAACTACTCTGATGGAACTAAAAGGAATATAATATTACAGTATAAATTGAGTTAGAATTGGCCGCAAGAAGCAAATAAAAACTACTTTCTCCGCTATAAAATATGCAATTTGCTGGTAGCTATGCTTGATATGCACATGCAATGGTGATGACGTTCTTTATTGCCATGGCCTTGTATGTGTCAAAATCAACTGTAAATTAAGCTCTTGTATGCTGAAACCAAAACTTTACACATTAGACAAAATTAAGAATGACACCATGTAAAAATAGGAACGAAATATGTGATAAGTTTTGAAGCCAAAAATATTGAAATTTGAGAAATAAAAATGAAAGAACTAACATTTCCATGGGAAACAAATATGAAAAAGAAATTATTGATTAAGTAAAGAGGCCAATCGATCTCACAATTATTGATCACTATACCAGGGAAAGATAAATGATAGCAAATAGTAAAATAGTTCATATCCACACTGTTTGTGGTTGCAAAACCATACCTTGCTTCTTGATAAGAATTCATGAGAAAAGTCTTGTAGTAGCCAGCCAACTCAAGCAGTTCATCAACTTTCTCACTTTTCTTCCCAAAATTTCAAAAGCAAATTCAGTAAGCACTATATGATTGATAGCAACAAGTGATTATTCAAAAAACAACGAGTGAAGGAAATGCAAAGGGATTTAGAAATTTGAGGGATGAAAGCAAATGATCCTAAGAGGGTTCAGCACATGCAGTCCTCAACCAAGAGACGTTGAATTTAGGCGAAAACTTGCTATTCATCAAGAATGACAGTAATACCTATACATTATTTGGAAACAAGCGCAATCAAGTCATCCATGTGGTTTCCATCATTTGATAGAAAGGCAATGAGCGGACAGAATGACTTGGAATTCAAGAAAAAATCAAGCTAACAGGAATACTTAAAACCAAGAAAAAATGTAAGCCACCGACCAACTTGATATGAACTATTTAAACTATCAATGAAATAGCAAGTTGAAGTTCCCATGGATTACATCATCTTCATTAAGAAAAGGCATAAGATCATTACATGCAATCTTGGACCAATCAGTAAAGTCAAGATCAACTGAAAGCTTTTAATGCAGAAATTATTAATACAATTCCATAAGGCTTCCACAAATATGCCTTTTTGAAATAGAAACAGGGTTGCAATGTAACAATTCTTAGATCTCGATTAAATTCGGAAATTTGTATTATAGGTCCAATTAAAAACAAAAGCAAAAATTTTTTTGGTCGAATAAATTGGGGAATTTGTATCAGTTAAGTTTCTTTAGAAAAAGTAACAAGTAACCGAGGATAGCATAAGGTAAATAAGTACCTATTTAACTCAAATTCTGAACTACATCAATTCAAAAGAAAACCATGACGATTGCGTTCCGAATCCAAAGCTAGTCCGAGGGTCTTGTAAAGGGTTTGACTTGGCATCTGGACTGCTATATCCTTCAATTTTAGTTTGTAAAGAACCACATTGATCATCTTCCAGTAGCTCAAAGACAATAGTGCCAGGCTAATTGTGATATTTCCATCACCACATACCTCGACTAATTTTTTCACCATAAGGTGTCAGTTTAGATTCTTTATCCACTTCTTCACCTTGAAATCCATAAACAGCCTCCAATGACTTACCCAAAATCCATCAATAGTTGTGCAAAGAATAAACTGCTAAATAAATTTGAAAAAAAAAAGAAAGCAAAGAGAGAACAAAAACACTGAAACAATAACTCCTGCACATACCTTGAAGGCTGAAATAAGAAAAGTAGCCTCCTTATTTCGTTCTTCCTTCATCTAACAAAAATTTAGTGTAAACAAGCGTCCGCCAAATGAAGAATATAATTAAAACAACCTCATGGTAATAACATGAGAATGATTCAGAGAAAATTATTGAACTTATTCTCCATATTCTTCAACATTATTAACAGTTGTAAATGAAATATATAACCCACCATTTTTTCCTTGCTTTTTTTACATTAAAATAAAAGTCTATAGTTACATGAAGCAAGATGATATGTAGATTAATATCACAAGTTTTCCTCTCCTTTCTGAGTAAGACCCTTTTGATTTCACAGCCCTTTCAAGAATTCAATATTTTCATTTAATGGTTCACAAACCTTACATGGTTTGAAATTTAACTACTTCAACCATTAACAGCCTAGAATTTAACCCTAAGCATTGAATAAATTATGTAGATAGCATGCTTAGCAAAGCAAACATGACATTCTAGTCGTTAATCAAACAATTTTGATCCAAATCCAAGGAAAAAAGGCCCCAAGATGAATTCCACTCACCTGAGCTATAAAAAGTTGTCCAAAAAGCGCATTAGCTGGCTGCAAAAAGAAAAAAAATGACAAAATCATTACCAACTAACTAAGAGAGTTTAACAGAAACAGTCAATCCACACCCTCTTACTTTGAATTTTTTACTTATAAAGAGTTATTGGCAATATCAACTGGAAAACAAAAATTTCTATGAACATGAAAAAAAAGAAAGAAATTAAACCATTTCATCTAAGGAAATAATCACAAGTTTCAATGCAAAAAACGAAAGCATAAAATATTGGATCTTAAGTAAGGATAATTACTGAATGTAGTTGCTTAAAAAGACTTGACAACCTCTTAATCATGACTTACACTGGAATTTTAGGAAATACTTCAATAAGAGGTAGACTGTCCTCTCCATAGTCCATTTCTTGAACATCTATCAAAGAAGTAAAGATAGGAGAAGATTACAATTGACTTCGGGTAAAACGAAAGAAAAAAAAATAGAAAAACAGAGATCCTAAAAGTATTTACTTGAGCAAAGAAATTCCAATCATTCATACTTGGTATCAAATCCCTATTCCTCAACCCGTAGCAAACATATAAAACTTATTAGAGAATAAAATAAAATTTAATCAAGAGAAAAAAGTATACATAGAACAAGAGTGGAGAAGCCAGCAGTTTTCAGAGAGAAAGAAAGGAAGATAAGAACAGAATGGACTTTTCAAATAGAAACTTTGAGTTGGAGAGGATTGAGATATGGAAAATTATTTGATGGGAATTGATTAGTCTTGCTAGCATTGAGCCAAACTCCTCTATTGCAGATACAGGAATTTGAGGGAAGGCCTCTGGTTTTGTAACTCCCAGTACTTTAACTCGCCAGCAAAGAGGAAAACAATAACTTTTTGCACAGAAAGGAGATGGGAGAAATTTTTTTTTACACAAAAGATAGGAGAGAGATGGCTCTGAGGTCTTTCTGTCAATTTTTCTCATAAAAAATCTGAGGTAAGATGACTCCAAAACACCTCTCCAAAAATAGTTGGATGTGTCAAAGAAGTGATTGTATTCTCAAATTCTAGGAAGAATTGTATGCCATTTATCTCAAAGTAGAGGCATCTTGTCCTCATATTTGAACATCTAAATGTGTTATATTTAGTACAAATTATCCATCCAGTTAAAACAAATTAGGAGTTCTACCAAATTTTCTTCAAAAGTAACATGCCCTTCCTTTAAGTTCTTTCCTGCATAAAAAACTTCAACATAAATTGAAGGTCTGCATCACATTCACCTTTTTGAACCTATCAATTGGAATACCGTCTTCATGTTTGTCACAAAATTTTCTGTTTAGGCTTATCTCAATTAAGTTCATTTTTACAAGTAAAAAAACTATCATAAGGTTCAGTTTTCCAGACTTAATCTTACTGAAATGTTACAAATCTAAGAGAAAATAATGTTTTGTAAATATAGACTTAAGTCAACCAAAACTGATTTTCCTAATAAGAATTTCCAAGCTATTAAACATCGTAGTCCATGATTCAAGAGGCAAAACTACAATTATGTAGCAATTTAATTCTTTTTTTGATCAAGGAATAGAAAATTTAAGGTGTTTTATTAAAACCGTAACTTATTATTTCAAGCAGGTGCTTAGAATATAATATTTGAGAATCCTCGTCTTGGACAAACCTTTAACCACCTACAAATAGGAAAACCATTTAGATTGCCATTGTAACAAAAAAATATATTGCTCAAGATACTCAGTTTAATATCCACTTAAGGTTCATAAAACGAATATTCAAGAGGTTTTACCAAGAGACAATTTATGTACTAAAACAAAAAATTTCAACACAAAGCAATCAAAAGAATAGCATCACACGATCTTTTGTAACTCAAAGTTTTGGCCAATGACCAATGTGACCTGGAAGTTCCTGATTCTCAGAGAAGAAATTTATTCATTCTTCAAATGTTGAAAACCCAATGAAGAAAAAGGAATCGGAAGAACTGGAGCAAATAGAAAGACATTTTGAAGATGAAGAAATCTATTTTAAACAAGTGAATCTTTTTTGTTACCATATGGATTTCTTTTCTGAGCAAGAGATCAACAAAACACCTGCACGAAAGACACCAAAAAAATGACTAAAAAGAAAACTCAAACGAGGTTTGAAAAGACCAAAGGCCAAAGAAAAGTATACCATCATTTGAGCTCTGAAAAGAGCAATTTAAAGTAAAAATTAAATTAGAATGATAGGACAAAGCTTACGTTTTTCCCCTCAGCAGTTGTCTTTCACGGGTGGCCAATTTTCCTCCCTGTTGCAGAAGAAATCCAAGAAAGGCAAAAACGAAAGAAAAATGGAACAATAAAACACCAAGTAGGTACAAAAAATAAAGTAAATAAATATCTACAAGCCAGCTAATCATCAATTATTCACCATCTCCGACCATATTAAAAGGTTTTTGTTGAAACTAAAAATAAAAATTTAATGATAAAACTGAAACGAAACAAAGACGTTAATCATGGAAAGAAAGGTAAAGAAAAACACCATATCTGTATTCTACAAATTCATATAGACAGTGGAGATGAAATATTAACCTTTCACTTCCTCGTTGTTTCAGAAAAGGATAAAAAAAAAAAGAAGGGGAAGAATTGATTGTTTTTAGCCAAGGAAATATCAGGCAAAATGGCAGAGAAATAGAAAAAATCAGCTATAATTACTTGAGGTATGGAGAGAGGGAGATGAAGGAGAACAGGAGGGAGAAATCGACAAAGGGAGGAGAGGAAGATTACCAGTCGCTTTGCATTCTTGAGCCCATCGTCCATCAACTCTGTCAGAAGAAAAAAAATTTGGACCCCAATTGAGATTACAACCTGTTTCAAGTACAATCAAATGCCAGAAATTCAGGGGAGAACTATGGGTCTCACGAAGATGGAATTTTGTCTGGAGGATAACAGCAATACGGATCGGTCTTCAAGAGTTCTTGACCCTGACTGATAGTTGTGCGTTTGACTGAGAGAGAGAGAAAAGCGGAAGAAAAAGGATTGAAGATCCATCAGCATATGATGCCGTTTGATTGATCAAAAGTAAAAAGGGCAAAAAACCCATAAATCCTCAAATCATATGCAAAAAAAAGTTCCAAAGGTAAAAAGTTCTTCAATATAAAAGACTTCCAAAGGTAATAAGTAGATCAACAATTAATCGCAAAAAAGTTGACAAATAATTGGGATTTATTTGGCAACCAAAAAAAGTGGTAATAATTGCAAAAAGCTAGTAATTAAATGTTATTTGCTAGGCAATAAAAAGTGACAATTCACTTCCAAAAAAAAATTATCAATTGATTGCAAAAGTTGGTAATTAGATGTGGTTCATTTAGCAACAGAAAAAAAGTGTTAATAATTGCAAAAAGCTAGCAATTAAATGTTATTTATTAGGCAATAGAAAGTGAAATTGCTAATTAATTAATTAAATAACAATTAATTGCAAAAAATTGATAATTAAATATAATTTGTTGTGCAACCCAAAATAAAAGAGGACATTTTTTATGACATTTGAAAAAAAATTTATAATAAAATGCATTTTTTGTGCAACCACAAAAAAAGAAGCCAATTTTTAATAATTCCAAACAACTGTTATTAAACATGATTTGTTGGGTGACCAAAAACTTGACATTATTAATTAGTTATTAACAATTAATTGCAAAAATTTGGTAATTAGATGTGATTTGTTGGACAGCCAGAAAAAAAATTTGATAATTAAAGGTGGTTTTTTGGGCAACCACAAAAAAGAAGTCAATTTTTTGCTACTAATTGCAAAAAAATTGTTAATTAAACGTGATATGTTAAATGACAAAAAACAGGACATTAAATTAGTTATTAACAATTAATTGCAAAAAATTGGTAATTAGATGTGATTTGATGGACAACAAAAAAAAAGGAATCCAAAATTTTTGTTAATGTGATTTGTTGGATAAAAAAGAAAGAAGCAAAATTTTAGCACAATCCTACATGCAATTAGAGGACTACCACTTTTCATCCAATCAAAACTCGCCACATCACCATCTTCATATGCAATTGGGAGGACTACCACCAATCAGCGAATCAGAGGATGACAACTCGTCAAATTGGAATCAATTGGAGGACTACCACCAATCAACCAATGGAAGAGCGCCACATCAGCAATTGGGTTCAATTTGGGCAATTGCATTCACACATTTACTATATATGTTAATAACTCTGACGTGATAGTGTATACATTATCAATAATGTATCCAAGATTATTTATCCTCATTTTTTAATCCATGCAACAAATACGACCAGTGACGTAAGGATTGACTCGGACACCCTTATGTCGAAAAAAAAAAAAAAAACAAATACGACCAGTGACGTGTCTCATCCTTACTTCTAGCAATCTTTTAGAGACAACTGTAACATATGTTTGCATGAAAAGTTTGCTGCTGAGCAATTGCATGAAAATTAATGGAGGCTGCTTTGAACATGGAAGCCAATGACGTGTTTTAGAGAGATGCTAAGATTTGAGATAATTGTTGAGTTAATTGAAATTGTCAGACTTCTTTTAATGTCTTTTTTCTGCGGAAGTTCAAATGGTTAGGTGGGAATAAATTACCCCTAATCTGGTCGGCTCTGAAGCATCTGGTGGCTTAGAAATAGTGTGATACCATTGAGTTCACATCAGGCATCCATGGGTTCTTCTTTCATGTGGTAATTCAAATTAGTTGAACACTCCTAACTTGGACAATTATGTGCTTCCAAGTTCGCTAATAAAGCCAGCAATGTTCCAATTGCTCCTCATATTTGCTTTCCAAAATTATGGTTCCTGATTGCTTTCGTACATCCTATTATATTCACCTAGTCCACTGTACCTCTGAGCCTTGATTAATTCCCATATGCTTCAACCATTTCCTAGCAGGCATTCACACGCTTTACATGCAGTTTTTGTCCACTGCAAAGGTTCGGTTCAGACAAAGATAATACAGAAGCATCTCGCCCTTGAAAATCTTAACCTCTCAAGTTGTGAACAACGAATCTTTTTGTTTAAAGAAGTTTGCCATTTCTTTTTGGCCCATCAGAAAAGAGTTAACTATTTTGGAATCACTTAATCCAGAAGAAACTTCTAAAGAAGATGGTCCCTTTTAGCTTTGAAGATGAACCAATACTTTACTTCAGTTTATTAGGGGATTTTTCCAGAATACTACTGTGAATGGTCCCTTCAGCCGTGCTTATCATCATGAGCATCCACCCTCTCGTACAAAGCTGGCCATTTCATCTTGATCCATCCGACAGTGCGTAGATTTTTCAACAGGTCCTTTGCTTGCTTGGTGCACATGGGACTATTCAATGTCACTACTGCTATTCGATTCAATTAGCAAAGATGGTGTTGAACCACTACTCTGTAGTCTGTACATGTAGGGCTTTCCATCAATGTAAATTCTGCATTTCGACCATCATCATATTATCCCACCACTGATAACGTACGATGTATTTATGATATGTACCAATCTAATCTAGGGAAAGGCACGAAATTGAGTTGGAATTCAAGAATCTAAAATGTTTACAAGTAACTAAATCTTGCCATGCTATTTTCAGAGGTTTTCTTGGTAAATGGTAGGTAGACCTCACTGGTGCTGCACATTTTCCAGATACACGTGATATTAACACATGTAATCAGGTAGTGCCATATCAGAAAAGATACAATTCTGCAGCCTCGGATGCCAAATACTTTTCGCTATTACAACCGTTTTCTTGGTCTGACTAAGGAGATACATCATTCGATTGAACTGCCTTTCAAATTTGGTACCTCGCCTTCATGCTTAGAGGCTGAGAGAAAAGTATATTGGCGTGCACGAAGTCTAGGACAAGGAAAATGTGGCCGTGTCACAAGGGGCAAATTTCCTAGTGATAAATAAAATTAGCGAAACTGCAATCAGGTTTCAATCAGCTCACTTAAGAAACAAAGCGGATTATGTCCTGAAACAGGGTCACCGAACTCTTGGTGTAGATACTAATGAATTGTTTCGGGGGATTAGTAGCTTTTAACACGAAGGATTGATGGGGGCATCATTAAGCGCTTCAACTGCATGCTTTAGGAAGCTGTATTTGGACATTACAGGCAAGGAACTTATGACAGCCTAAACGTACAAGTTTACAGATTATAATTTCGCCTATGAATTTTTTGGGGTTGGTAGCCTCAAAATTACCAAATGCGACTTTGAATTTTCTGCAGACAATCCTCAGACGGAAATAAAAGGCGGTAATTCGCGTACGATCTAGTTGTGGCATCTACTGACGGACAACCACTCTCTGTGATCATCATTGATTGCTTTCGGGTAAAATAAAAATGTATGATGATAAATCTCTCCAAATTCTTCCCGTCAAGAAGGTATGAATCTAAAAAATGGGTGTGTCAGAATTTTCAATTGTGTTCTAGGAAGTAGAGATGGGGATTCTGTTTTTCTTACGCATTACATGGCATCATATGTACTACGTATTTTATATACTCCTACCGCAAAACAACGTTCAGGACCGCATTAACAAGAGTTGAGTTGGCCCGTATGATTTGAACTGATTTGACCTCTTCATTGGTGCAGTTTGGTCCTAGACAACTGCAGCAGCTACACTACTGTGTTGTACATCTTCCCGCCTAGTCTCCACATTTAATCTCTGTCGTTTCATCTGTCAAAACTTCCCCTTAATAGCTACTCTCATCTTCAGCCACTCCCCCATCCCTCTTTGAGGCCTCCCCCCCTCCCCTCAAACTGATATCAACCAGAAAAAAAAACCACAATTCTCAGATGTACCATCTGAAAACACATTAAAACGTCACCAGCTTATTTTATTGAATGGCCATTGATCATGATGTATTCTGAGCATTACAATTCTGTATTATCAAATCTTCATACAAGCTCTAGGGCATCATTTCTTTGCTAAATTTAAGGTAACAATTATTTTCTGTTTCCTTGATTGTTTTAATCGATCAGACCGTAAAACAAAAGGTATCATATCAACAAGCCTATTATATAGATTTTGACTTCAGAGTTCAAATTAACCCAGCCCAAGATCAAGAGATTGAGATTCTTGTCACGCAAGAAGATGCCTCTTGTTTGGCTTCTAAATAACTGAATAACATTTGTTATCCCCCAAACCAAGGAAAAACTACAGCTAGCTGCGACTGCAACTCCACATGGTGCAAGTGGCAATGCTTAAACCTGACAGAGATTCACCAAACTAATTTTTAAACATTATAAACAATTAATATCCATTTGTCCTAGGACAGCCTACATGTTTTTTTTTTTTTTCTCTTTTTTGTCTAATTGTAATTTTTGCCCGACATTCATTTCATAGTACAGCAAAATACATGAGCATTATGTGCCAAGAGGAAGTATATGTGCTGCGTTTACTCTTGTTTAGTTAGTTGGCCTTATTTTATGAAACTCGGAGAATAATATTAAACAAAAATCTGCAGATGCAAAGTCAATCTAGGTATGTGTCTCATGACCATCCATGAATTGTGTGTCATAATATCGTGCTAGGAGATTGATTCTCTAAAACTAAAAGGGATCGTTTTTATCAGTTGCTTAAAATTTTTTTTTTTTTTCTTGATTCGTAGCGGAAACTGATGAAAACTATGCAGTCCTGAAGTTTTGGTCCATTTAGATAATCTGGTTAAGAGAATCTGCTACAAAACACATAGCCACAATTAAGATTCCATCCTCGAAGATGTTGCTGTTGGCTTCTGAATCCGGCATGTTCATCGCACATCCATCTTTTCCGTAAAGGACAAAATCATTACAGCTTCAACTTGGCTTAAATATTATTGTTCATAGCAGTTGGCTCCCACATCATATCATATATTTTTTCCAACTCAGTGGCCATGAGGTGTCCCTCAGGACCCAAACATGACAAAGATGGGAGAGAGCAGACGAGGAAGATCGATAAACTAAACAGAAGTGCTAATAAATGTGCCTCACACACACCGTAATGA